GCTGGCAGGAGAGCAGCCTGGACCATTCCTTGGTGGCACTGTTGGTGGCAGGCTCAGCATTATGGCAGCAGGGAAGGATGGAGCCCACGGCATCTCCACCGCGCACCTGCGTTGGGTAACACCTGGCCAGGCGGTGACGCCAGGAACACAGGGGTGGGGGCAAGCAGTTTCGGTCGGGGCAAGAGCACAGGCATCCAAACCAGTGATTACCTTGGCCCTGAGCTGCTAAGTGGAGGAAGTCTGTGATTAGTTGACACCTCTAGCCAGGCTTTGGATTTTAAGCTGGGCTGGAGCAGGGGTGGATGACAACTGCTTTATTCATTGCTGATATATAAAACTGAAAGCATAGCCTAGGTACGGTATCAGGATATACTGGGGGTGGATATTCAGTGAGTCCCCAGGGGCTTTGGGGGTGCTCATGGGGAAAGGTGGGCTTTGAGCCCTGGACTGGGATGTCCAAGGGCTCAGGGCAGGGCTTTGTGTTGGGTTTGGGTTCCATGTGCTTTGAACAAACCTCCCTTCAGCAGTCACTGCCTTGGGAAGTAAAGAAACTACACCTGGTGCTTATTCCTGAGCTTTGGGACTCCTGTGTTTGCAGGTGGCTTCTAGAAAGGGAAGAGGGATCGTGTTTGTGGTTGGACTCATGGCATAGCTGATACCAGGCATGTGTTTAACTCCATGCAGGGAAGAGTCTCCCACTCTGTCAGGCTGTCCCAAGGGTCTGTCCCCACCAAGCAAGTGCAGGTCTATCCCTGCAGCACAGCAGCACTCTGGCCTAGCCAGGACCCAGAGAACCATTGTCCCAACCCTGGAGCCAGGAGGGTTCAGGCTCTAAAATGCCATGGTAGCCTCTAAGTCTTGCAGGAGTGAGGGATTAGGTTGATGTCTCCATACCTGGCTGCTGCTGGCAGGTAAATCCCAGCTGTTCTCACTCCAGGGTGAACATCACTGAGGTTTGGCAGAGCAATTCCCCACCTATAACCCCTCCAGCATCCATCTTGGGGTCAAATGGATGAGAAAAATATAGCAGCAGTGAAAAGGATGTGTCAATGACACTGAGGGTATGGGGCCTCCAAGCCCTTTCTGTCTGGACAACGTCCTTTGTGGGGTTTTGCCATTCAGCCACTTCCGTGTGGAGGTGCTGGGTCAGTGCAGGGCAGCACTGGACCAGCACAGAGCCTGGATAAGACCAACACAGAGCCTGGATAAGACCAACACAGAGCCTGGATAAGACCAGGCATTGTCCACAATGCCTCCCCCGCAGCCAGTGCATGACCCAAGGCTCTGCCCGCCCCGTCTCGCCATCGTCCGCTCTGTGCCATGCAAACAGATCAGCCAGATTAGCCAGCACTGGGATCCAGCTGCTTCCCAGAGCTTGCTGAGCACAGGCAATAAGTTTTCTGTGGCCTGAAGTGGCCATTTGAGCCCTGCAAACAGTGAGATATCCCGGGAAGGGTATTTATTTAAGGTTCAAAGCATGACCTTGCCAAGTCTGGCAGGGCTGGGAGGATGTGGACTGGAAAACAGCCCTTGATGGATCTGGCATCTCACCCCCCCCTGCCAGCCTGGCACCACTGGAGCTCTCAGGGAGGCTGCAGCTGCACCCAACATCTTGATCCATAAGAGGGGACTTAGCAACCCATGGGATGGGGCTCGGTGCCTAAGTGCCCCCAACATCCCTGGAAGGGGACTTTGCATCCCATGGGCAAGGGCTTGGTGGCTGAGCCAGCTCTGGCATCCTCTGAGATCTCGTTGCCCTGACACACAGGTGAGGCTGGGTCTCACGGTTTGGAATCCCAAGAGCTCAGGACTAAGCATCCCTTGGGAGCCCACCAGCTCAATTTCCTGCACTTTTAGCAAAACTACAGCTCTAGCAGGTGCTGCATGGAGCTGTGACTCCCTCTGGTGCCTGCCCCGTGGCTCCTGAGCTCGTCCTTCTCTCTTTCCTCATTCCATATGGAGGGAAGGTTTGGGGTGCCCCAGCTGGCCCCGGGGTAGATGAGTGAGGGAGTGGGGACCGGAGCTAATCTCATATCTCGGCTGTGGGACTCGGGGTGTGCCAAATACCGTGTGCCAGGGCCCGAATTTGGGGAGGAGGGAGCTGCTTTTGGGGGATGGAGGCAGAGCTCTGCCTGCAGATGGAGCTCCTGGCTCGGCCGCTGGGCTTTGGGTGGAGGGAGGTGATGAATCCGGAGAATTTCTCCTTCTTGAGGACCCCACAGTTCTGCCAGACCCCAAAAGACAAAGAGAGGAGGTGCTTAAGGTCTGCATGCTGGGTAGGGGATGGTGCTAATTAATCCCTGATTAAATTAATTACCCAACTGAAAAAGGTGGAAGTGCTGTCCAAAGCCAGGTATTAAAAAAGTGAATCTGTGCAGACACAGCGATGCCAGGGGAAGGGGAGGTGATGGTTTTGGGAGTGTCTGGCTGAGACAACCAGGGGATCTGGTGGTGTCCCACTGCCAGCCCCTGCAGTCTGAGCATTCCTTCCCCCAGGGTGGAGGGTGTGCAAGGTGGGTGGCTGCAGGGAGGGAAGGGCTGCTGAGGGAGCTCCATGTCCTCACCACAACCCTGGGGTGCAAATACTGCAGCTTTTCCATATTCCTGGAAACTCCCACTTTCCTGGGCAGGAAATTGTGCTTCTGGGGCTGCAGCAGGTGCTGTCCCACGGGCTAGGGGGATCCTGGGAGGGCTCAGCAAGGAAGCACTTATAGCTGCTGGGTCCTGATGGCCTGACATGTGTGTCCTTGTACCAGGCTGAAACGTCCCGTTTTCCCCTCTTTGGGGAGCAGGGACATGGGAGGAGCTTGCTGGGAGCCAGATTTGGCCTTTCTAGGGGCAGAGTGGGTGAGATGAGGACAATGAGCCAATTCCCATGGCTCCCTTGGGATGGCAGACAGCTGGGGAGGCAGTGGGGGCTGCCTGTGGGACCCTCGTGATGCCCTGGGCAAGGGACAGCCACAGGGTCAGCAGCTGCTGGCCAGAGCTCGCTGCTTCAGGGATTATGTTGATTCCCTCCAGCTGCCCTGCTGTGTGCTGAGGGATTTCTGAGTCTTACACATGTTTACCCTGCTAAATTGGAGGTGTTTGTGTCCACAGCACAAAGGCCAGGCCAGTGTTTGCTTTGATCCCTAAGACTCAGTTGGGTCAGGCTAACTGTGTGACTTGACCTGTGTGTGGTGGGAAATCAGACGTAACTTGGGGTTTAAAAGATTATTTTGGAAATAGAGCTCTGTGAGGCAGCAGATTTAGGGCTACAATCCAGAATCTGCTGACTGTCCTTATGGCTCTGCAGACTCTTCTTACAGTTTCTGGTCTGTTGTCAGCACCGTGACTCCCACCTTGGCTGTACCTCTTTTGGGTTCAGCACTTTTCCTCATAAACCAAAATTCAGCCTCTCCCATGTAGTTTTCAACCCACTATTTGTTCTCTTTTCCCAGGTGGTATCTGGTCCTAGAGGCAGTGCAGAACTGAGTGATGCCATGCACCTGCTTCTCCCTGTGCCAGCTGCACTGGGATCCTCATGGATCCTGTTGGTGTTGGATGTGTGGCTGATCCCCACCCCCTCCTCCTCCTCAGCTGCCCCCACACCACCAGTTCTGCCCCGTTGTGCAATGGCAGTTCCATTCAGAGCTCACCCTTGCCCTGCCAAACGGCACCCTCGGAGCAGGGCTGTCACCTGCTGCCACCGTCCCTCGTGGTGACACCTGAGGGGTGACAATGAAGGTACCGTATCTCTCTGGAGCAGCCCCACCCGATGCACCTTTGGGTCTGACACCTGCCTCCCCTGGCCTGGCAGCACCCGTGGGTGCTCTCCCAGCTGTGGACAGGTGGGAAAAGCCATTCTGCTCATCAGAATGAATTAATCACTGGCTGGGCTTCACAAACCACCGTGATTCCTCAGTCCCCCTGGCTCTAGAGATGGTCTTTCCTAATGCATGCTTTACAGTGGAAATGAAACCTCAGCAGGTCTCTGATGCACACTCAGCTCTGCCCCTTTTGCAGCAGCTGGGATTTTTTTATTATTATTTTATTTTAAATTTTTTTATTATTTTTTTTCCAGAGGGTGATAATTCCCTGGGGCTTGGTGTAACTGGGGTGTGAGGTTTGCTTCCCTGCAAAACTGAGTGTGATGTGATGTTACTGGAGGTGCTGGGCCCATCCCAGTTTGTCACTGTGATATCCTAGTGATGGGTGTAGCAAACCAGCCTTGTCTGTTCCAAATCCGTAGGGATTTGATGGATGTCAATGTTCATTAAGGTTTTGGTGGATCAGTTGAGCTGATTTGAGGTTTGGCAAGGAGAAATAACAAAGCAGGAAGAAATTCAGTACCGCAGCGAGAAGCAATGTGATTTTAGCTTTCCTTCATAAAGAAATAGTGTTCTGGAGGTCCTGGTCTGTGCAGGGGCATCCCCTAAGCTTTTGGATGCCAGTATCTGGGTGATGAGTCAGGAGGCAGTGATGGAAAATGGGGGAAATTCATACAGGATCAGGTCAGAAGAGAAGAGAGACCCTGCGGGGTCAGAGCTGGGTGCCAGAGTTGCGAGGGACAGGTTTGGGGTAGCCTGAGGTCCCTGGCGGGTGGCTCTGGGCTCTGTGTCCCCCGGCAGAGCAGAGGGTGCTGGGCAGAGGGTGCTGGGCAGCAGTTTGGGCAGGCGGGCACAGGCATCCCCCCCTCCCTGCAGCCTGCTCCTCGCTCTGGAAAAGGCCGATTTTCTCCCCAAAACGGCTCTCTCATGGGACAGGCAACATTTGCTCCCTCTCCCTGGCAAAAGCGAAACCCTATCCCCGTCCTCAGCGCTCTGCTTGGGTTTCTCAGTGCTGTTCCCGACGCTCGGCTCCTTCGCCTCCAGCATTTCCATTGCCTCTATCCATCTTCTTTCCACTCCTTCCCCCTCCGCTGCCCTCCCCACGGCCCCGCTTCCCCGGCCGCTCCCCTAAATGGGCCAGGAAGGCGGATTATTGCCATGGCTCATCTGCATTCGCCCTCCTCCCAGTCCTCCCCCGCTCCTCCCTTCTCCAGATCGCAGCGGTGCGGAGTGGCCCGGGCTGCCCGGCCCCGTGAGCGGCCAGCGCCGGGAGAGGCACCGGGCCGGGGCTGCCGTGAGTAGGGGGCTGTGCTGGCTGTGCTCTGTGTCCCTGTGCCGGGTGCCTGCCTGGCTCTCCGGCCGTGTCCGCTGCCTGCGTCCTCCTTGGATTGTTTATTTTCCCCATCCCTGCCCTTCCCGTGTCCTTCGGCCGCAGCCGGAGCCGCAGCGCGCCCGCGGTGGGTCGGGGTGCTGGGGTGGATGCTCCGGGGGTGACACCCTGAGTGACCTCTGTTCAGCAGGGAGATGTCACTGCAGGATGGGGACCCGAGGGGACGGCAGGACAGCGGGGAGGTCAGCGGTATCCCCCGGCTCGGGGGGATGGAGGACTCCTCGCTCCGGGGCACGGCAGCACCCGGTGGCAGCAGGACAGACGTGATGGCAGAGGGCTGGGAGCCGGGGCCAGCGCTGGGTGACGGGGACGTGACCCCCGAGGGAGCCCCACAGCGAGCACGGCAGCCCGAGGAAGCCCTGATGACCGAGCTCTCGGAGCTGGTGCAGAAGGTGGTGAAGAGCAGCAGCTGGTGGGAACGGCACGGCGTGGACATCAGCATCCTTGCCTGCAGCCTCCTCCTGCTGCCAGCAGGTAACCTGGCTCAGCCCTCCCAGACCGTGGCCAGGGGGGTCCCCGGGGGTCCCACTGCCTCCTGCTTTGTGCTGGGAGCCCGTTGGCACCTACTGAGGTTGTAACAAAGCTGCGGTAACTCCTTTAGCCCATGACTTGGCACGCTCTGACCCCATGGTGGGTGAAGAGGACACGATGGAGTGAGGGGCACTGGTATCTGGGGCACTCCCTGGGCTGAGGGGATGGTGCCCAGGCAGATGCACACAGGGCAGGACAGCGGTGATGTGTCCCACCGTGGGACAGGGAAAGCATGGTGGTTTTGGTGGCAATGACCCTGGCTGTGGTGGGTGCAGAGGAAAACAGTTGAGTGTGGGTCTCTGGCGGCATGGCTGGTGTCTAGGACCTTCTCTTGAACTCCTGGGGATGCTCAAATCCTGGCAGAGGAATAATATCAGTGCAATCCCACATCCCAGGACTGTGGGGTGGGATCAGGCACCTGCAGCACTCGTTGCCATTGAGGCTGGAAGTGGCCAAACCTTCAGCACAAGGGTGAATGTGGCTGGGCCAGTCATGAGGATGATGAGGAGGCAAACTGTGACTTGCATCGTTTAAGCACCTGTAACTACAGCTGAAGAACAGGTTTAGGGCAGTGGCTGGCGTGTTTGGGTGTAGCAACACCTCCAGCCTGGCTCAGAGGGCTGCAGGACATGTGCATGGCCAAGCTCCTGCCTGGCTGGTTTCTCCACAGGGTTCCTGTGCCTGCGGTCAGCTCAGGCCATCCCTTTCCTGGCGGGTGTCCTCACCCTTGGTGTGGTGCATCACACCCTGACCGTCAAGGGCAGTCACCTGGCCAGCCACAATGCCTTGACCGAGTCCAAGTCCTGGGGCAAAGTGTGGGCTATCTTCTTCATTGAGGTGAGTGGGGCAGCCCCAAAAACACCCCATCAACACCTTTGTGGTGCTGGGCAATGTTTGGAATGGTGGGAAAGGTTTCTGGTTTAACTCTTAGTTTCTTAGCTTAACCCTTAAAAGCCCATTTCCAGCCTGGTTTGGGGTCTATGGGGTGCAGAGCATCTCCCCATGGTGCTTCATTCTGGTTCCAGAGTATCTCCCCAGGTTCCTCCCGCACAAGCCCAAGCCAGGCAGTGCCTAACCCTGGCACCACAATTCTCTCTTTCCTCCCAGCTCTGCTCAGCTTTCACAGTCGAGCAGGCCACCTACAACCATGTGAAGATCCACCACGGCTACACCAATGTCATCGGCCTGGGGGACTCCAGCACGTGGAAACTTCCTTTCCTCAACCGCTACGTTTACATGTTCATCGCGCCTCTTGCAGTGCCCATCCTAACCCCTCTGGTTGCACTTGGTACGTGTCCCAGCCACCTTGGGACAGGGTGCCAGGTGTGGGAAGCTTGTGACTGCCCAGGTCTCAACCCACCCAAGGGTCCTTCTTCGTTTGGAGGCATCACATTAACTGCACCAGCCCCTGGTGGGACACTGGGCTGCAGGAAAGGCAGGAGATGCTGCATTTGCCCTGAGGACCACATCTGATACATCTGCTTTCAGCTGATGCTGAGAAAACACTTCACCTTTTGCTGTGCTGGATGTTGAAGTCTCTGGCAAAAGCCATCATGAGCCTGGAGCACCCCAAATCCATTCTCCTTTAACTCAGATCTGTGGCTGTAATGGGGTTCAGTGTCACACGTGGGTCTCAGGTTGATCAGAGCATCTCACAGGGTGTTTGATGGCTGTGTATGGGGGTGGAAGTTTGGGGGGCTGTGGGGGCCAGATGCAAAGAGCTTGGGCAGAAAAGGTGGTGGCTCCAGGGAAATAATGGTGCCAGGAAACAATCAGGGAGAAGAGCCCAGAAAGCAGTAAGAGGCTGGGGAAGCAAAGCCCTCTGGACTGTATTACCCAGGTCAGGACAGTGCCAGATACACTGACAATGACTTGGCAAATTGTAAGAAATGAAGGTGCATCCAAATCCCCTGAGTGATGATGCACAGCTGGCTCTGCTGCTCTGGGGAGGCTCTCAGACACACACCCCAGCAGTTCTATAGGGTTTGGGCCAACCTGGAGGATGGGGAAAGTGAGTTCATGGGCTGGGCTGGGCTGTGGGGCTGTTGGCACACTGGGCAGCCTGGCTGCTGGAGCAGCAGTGGTGGTAGGGAAACGTCAACACCTCTCCCATGTGCTGCCTCCTCTTCCCTGTGCAGATTTATTGAGGAACGTGGAGTGGAAGGCAGCTCTCCGGACCCTCTGCTGCATGTTTCTGGGGTTTTACTGCCATTACTGGCTCCTGCTCCACGTCTCGGGCTTCCAGTCGCCGTGGTCCGCCCTGCTCTGCATGCTGCTCACCCGCTCCCTCCTGGCCCATCCCTACATCCATGTCAACATATTCCAGGTAGAGACCTGAAGCTTCCAGGTATCCCAGCAGTGCTGAAGACAGGCAAGCCACCACCCAGTGCTGGTGACAAAGCCCTGATGCTGCTGGCCAGAGCTTGTGTCACCTTAAGGCGAGTGGGTTCAGTCGTCACCTCCCTTGTGCTGATGTTGTCACCAGGAGCATTAGGCTGGTGATGCTGGGTGAAAAGTGGTGGCCCTTGGAAAATGTCAGGGCAGATGAGTGCAGAGGGTGTGAGGATGATGTCTTCTGCAGTGGCTGGTATTATTGGGGGGCTGAAGTGTGTTACATGTGGTGTTACAGGCCTTGGGGTGGGGAAACGCTGGTGGCTCTAAGTGTGGATGTACTGGGGAAACAGAGCCTGGGAGCTCCTTGGTGGCTCCATGGACAGACAAACACAAGATGGAGTGACTTTAGGGACAAACCCAGCTCTGGGGCTGGCAGAGAGACCCCAAACGTGGCTCCTCGTGCCCACGCACAGGCAGAGGTGCCACTGGCTCTGCTGGAGGGAGACTGGGGAGGTGACAGGTGCCACAGGGTACCCACCCTGCCTCTCCTGCAGCACATCGGCCTCCCCATGTTCGCGGCCGACCGCAAACCCAAGCGGATCCACCTCATGAGCCTGGGCGTCCTCAACCTGCCCCGCAACGCCCTCCTTGACTGGTCCTTCGGCCACTCGCTCATCAGCTGCCATGTGGAGCATCACCTCTTCCCCAGCCTCTCTGACAACATGTGCCTGAAGGTGAGACAGCCCCACAAGGTGGCTGGGAGGTGACATGGGCGTGAGACATCCATCTCCCCACCACCTCCCACCCCCACTGCCAGACCTGTCTGTGCTGCTCCTTCCCATGCTGGAAACCGCTCACTGCTTTGCAGCCCTGACCCACACCTTGCCATCCCATTCCTGTTTCTTCTGGGTTCCTGGTCCCAGTACCAGCCTACAGCAGCTTTCCAGCAGTCCAGGATCCTCCCAGTTATTCCATTGGGAAAGTATCCCCAGCATTGCACAGTTTTTGGTTCAGACAACCTCCTATCGCTTTGCTCATGCCCTTACTTGCTGCACTGAGCTGTGGGGTGTGTTCAAAACGTGGGCTCTGAGGACTGCCCCAGCTGGAGGGATCCCAAGGCAGGTCCATACACTGCCCTTCAGCACAGGATTGCCACTCACTCAGTACCGTGCCCTTGTTTTCAGTGTCCTTTGCTTGAGCTGACAGGGCTGGCAGGACCTGCCTTCCCCAAAGAGGTGTTGCAGGGAAGGAGGTAATTAAATCTGTGGCAACCTCCCAGTCCCTTCACCGAGCTGGCTGTGTGGGCACATGGGAATAATGATGGGCGTGAACGATGAGCATTCATGGCTGGCTCTCATTAGAAGCCTCATTAGGGCATCTCTCCTAATTTGGAGCCCTCCAAAGGCGTTTGGCCAGGGTGAATCCCTGTGATGCTGCAATGGGAAACCACCTTCCTCTTAATATTCACAGCAAAGATTCTACATCTGGTACTGCCTGCTCCAGCCCAGCTTTGGGCATGTGGGGTTTTCTGGGCACGTTTCAGGCATCTTGTACAAACACCAGGGCATCCTGCACAGTGCTGACATTACCTTTGCCTTTGCAGATCAAACCCATCGTTTCACAGTATCTGAAGCAGAAGAAGCTGCCCTACAATGAGGACACCTACAGCTCCAGGCTCTGGCTCTTCCTCCAGAGATATGAGGAGCTGATGGTCCATGCTCCCCCCATAACGGAGCTGGTGGGCATCCAGTGAGGACCACGGGGGCCACAGCACTTGGGAGGGCTGTTTCTCACAGGGACATTCAGAGGGACGGTTTTAGCAGGACCAACACCTTCATGAAGTCATGGTGTAGGAAACATCCCTCCCTGAAGTCTTGCTTTTGGCTAGAAAATGGTGCACAGAGCCACTGCAGGGGGAGAGACAGGTGGGGCAGCACCAGGGACAGAAAAATCGGGGTCCCCCACAGTTATTCCCAGCCAGGGCTTAGTTTTATCCGCTCTGCTTTTACACTTGGGGAGAGGAAATCCCCCCCATCCGTGGGGGATGTCCAGGACATCCAGAACTGAGAAGCATCAGGATGTGTAGGATGGAGCTGCAGCTGTGTGGTCGGGGTCTGAGGGAAGGGGTGGATGGTGGGGAGGGGGTTGTGTCACTGCTACTTGTGCTTTGCCTGACTTTGGGCTAAATCAGTCCCTTCTAGGAACAAAGATTTGGAAAATTCAGCCTTAACACTTCGGGGTGGATTTCCTTTATCACTGGCTTTCCTTGCTGGAGGAAGATTTACTGGTATCCTGCGGTGCCCGGGGCAGGACTGGGGGAAAGACCCCCATTCCATGGGGGGTGTCTGTGTTGGGGTGTCAGAGGTGACCCCACACTTGCTTATTGCCATGGCAAGAGTTTACCAAGGGAATCACCTGCCAGAGGCAGGCAGGTGTACAGGGCTTGGGACACCTTCCCTGTTTAGGGAGGGTGAGCTCTGCCCCCCTGTGCTGCTGCCAGGGCTGGGATACTCATGTGGCCAGTTCAAGCCCCCTCTGGGGAGCTGTGTCTGGCTTTACCAGGGTGCTCTGCTGTCCTACACCTGCAAGACCAACCACAGAGTCCACCCCAGTGTCACGGTGGGGAGCTGGCAGCAGAAAGGGCAGATGGCCAAACTGAGACCAGCGTGGTTTTGCTTTGAGCCTGGGGTTTTGCTCCCTGATTTGAGTTGTTCTCCCATCTGGGCTGGACCCCTGCAGTGCCACGTTGTGGATTTGTAAAGCTTCACAGGTAAATGTGTCCCAAGGCACAGGGATGCTCTGTCCAGGTCCTGGCCTGTGGCAAGGTGATTGTTGCAGCAGGCAGTTCATGGTGTTTTACTCTGCTTCTCCTCCACCAAGTCCAGGAGCATCCTCAGATGCACTGGGGAAGTGTCCCTGTGATGAGAGGCTGGAACTGGGGTGGCCATGGCATCCCTGTGCAGGTGATCCAGACTCAGGGAAAGGAGGAGTGGCCCTGGATCCATCCAGCATGACCCCTTTGGCATCAGAAATGTTGGACTATCGATTTACCCTGGGCTGGGGCCCAGGGGCTGCTGATGCACTGATTTGGGGGCATTGTCACCTCTACCCAGGCCTATGTGGGTCATTGATCCAGGACATTATGAAACACCCAGAGGGCAAATTCCTATCCTTTGGGCAGGGGTTAGGCTGGGTCTGGGGCAGCTGGAGGGGTATGGCCAGGGCAAATGGCCTGAATGCTCTAGGGGGCCAAAGACCCTCCCCAGACTGCCCCTCCCCCAATTAATTTCTCAATTGAGCATCAGAGATAAATTAAAGTAAATGTGACAAATTATTGGCATTCCCAGCTCCAGTGAGGGGGTGAGGGAGCATTAGAGGTGCTTTTGATTCAGGCAGGGTAATCTTAACCTCATATGTTCCTGGTTGTGGGCACAAAATGCTCTTTTGCCCTCTCCTGCTGCAAAGAAATCGGCCCCAAAATGTTCCCAAGCACTGGTCAGAGCAACAGCTCTTTTCCCAGCTGGATTTTATGGATGTTGTTTAAGGCAATGCCATCTGAAGGCAAGTGTTTGCAGGTCCCTCAGCCAGCAGGAGACAGCCTGTGATTTGGGAGAAAGGTGGATTATTCCCGGCCAGAGCTGGTGGATACAGAAGTTAACGGGGGAAAGGGAGAATTCTGGGAAAAAAGGAGGATTCTGACTCCTGTGCTTGGAACCCTCCAAATATAAACAAAATGCTTCTTTGGATGACCTCTATGGCAATATTGGGAGCCTTCAGCCTTGCCTCTCTGGCAAGGGGCTTGATGATTGCTGTGCTGACTTGAGGCTGAGGGTTTGGAACCAGCAGAATTCCTGGTCCTTGCCACAACCCCCCCTGAAGGAGTGGGTGCAGAAGGAGGCACAGAGCCAGCTGTCATTCTCAGCGTGCCTTTGCAGAAAGCCATCAACTCATTTCCAAGACCAGGAGAGAAAGCGTGTGGGTTTTATGATCTGTATTACAACCAGCTTCTGGCTGTAAACTCCTCATGGTTTTAATTGCATTTTAAAAGCCCCATCAAGCACTCGCCTGCATGCTCTGGCATCTGGCCAACTTTTAAATGTCTGCTAGGCCCTATGAGATGATTTTTCTGGCTGGTGTGTTGTGCAGGGTCTGAAGCAAGATGGGATGTGGTGCTCCTGCATGGGAGGTGCGAGCACCAGCATCTGGAATGCTCTGAGGGATATGGATGAAGGAGGGAATAAAGCAGAGACCGTGGAGACACCGGGGCAGGAGTTCTGTCAGCATCATTTATCCACTCCCTCTGGCGTTAATGTTTTACCTTTTATCGAAGGATGCTTCAAAGGGGTTTCTCCTGGCGAGAATAGGGTGGCTGTGTTAAAATCAGCCTGAGCTTCGCTTTCCCCGGTAGATTTTGGCAGCTGGTCGCTTGTTGGGCGATAAACGGGCGCAGGCAATTAGCACCATCAGTGATGATGAATGCTGCGAGAGCGCGCCGGGTACCGCGGAGGTCTCACCACAGAGAGCGGCGGTGCGAGCGGCCGCCAGGGGGCTCTTCCTGCCGCGCCTCTCTATGCTACAGCGCGTTTCCGGTCAGCCGCAGTGGAAACGGCGAGCTGCCATTGGCTGACGGTGTGGGGGTGGGGCCATGCGGCGGCGGCAGGAGGGGTTATGCTAATGAGGGCGCTTTCCCGCCTCACGATCGGCTTGGAGGAGGGGCGGGGCCGGATCGGTGAGGGG